TATATATATATATATATATATATATATATATATATAACACAATGTAATTATTTTATTATATAATTATAATCTTTCATAATGTATATAATAATATTATATACAAATGCGCTAACCATTCATCAAATATTTTTGTTAATTATAATTGATGACACTGAAAATAAGGTGACCTAAAAACAATAACATCTACATTAACTGATTATATTAAAAGCCAATATTTTGTAATATTTTTTAATCAACCTAAATCAATTAATATATACCATATTATTATTATTATAATTATTATTATTATTTCATATATAATAATCATGATAATAGTAGCATTATATGTATGAATAGTATGAAAATGTATAATTAATTATTCAACTAATTAGGGTTTATTGAATATAATATGCAATATTATGTAATATTTTGTTGAATACATTTATTTATACCACCAAGAGTACATCAAAAGGGGTAAAACAGGTAGAAATAGCTCTAGCACTTACAGGTTGCTGCTTTTTGCAGTGTATTTGCATTTGTAGCTCGAGAGCACCTTGCAGTTCCATTAAAACCTGGTTCATCAGTGTATTTCTATATATTTTGTATAGCCTACATTCAGGTAGTTAACACAACCAATGATGTGCTGTTTTGAAGCCTGCAAACAGTCACAAGTGTCTGCTACATTTGGAAGACATGAGTCATGGAAGTAAACATGTTTTTATCATTAACTTCAAAGATTTGTTCATAAACTCCATTCATTTCTGAAAATCATTCATAGCCCTAACAAGCTCACCCAGTTTGAAGACTGTGCTGTACGTCATCATTCACCGTGCAAAAAAATAAAAAAACTCATTACTGAATTGTTCGCATCTTATCTGTCGCATACATTTAAGCTTTGTAAACAGAACTAATACAGTGTGTTTCTTAGACGAGTAATGCTTCTAAGAAGGTCACATTGCTCTTCTCTTCTTCAGGGAGGGTAAGAAGGCTCTGATCCGATGGAAGGTAGTCTCTGGAAACACTTACCTGGGCTCTGCTGGAGCTTCTTCTGTGGACAAGATCATCGTCCACAAAGATTACATCTCAGGACGCAACGACTATGACATTGCCATGATACGACTCCAGTCCCCTATCACTGTGGGAGGTACATCAGTGTGCACACACACACACACACACACACACACAAAAAAACACTCACTGTAACTATAATAACTAAATATGAGTCGAGTCAAAACCTGGAAGGTTTGAGTTACTTTATTTTAAACTCGACACAACAGCATTCCATTTAAACTCGGACACAGAAATGCATTCCCATAAGTATTTTTGGAAGTGCTGAAGAAATGTGCATGTACAGTACATAAGAGAAGATTATTATTATTATTATTATTATTATTATTATTATTATTATTATTATTATGTTTTATTATTATTATTATTTTAGTTGTAGTAGTATTAATAGCACTAATGTGGTATACTGTGTATATATATATATATATATATATATATAAAATCATCTTCAAAAATATTTGAATATTAAAACAGTTAAGCCATATTAAATATTTATTTTATTAATTACATCTTTTTTTGTATGTGCTAAATAGTTAATAAATATTAAAAATATTTTGTGCTGAAATTTGACTTAACAATACTCTGCTAAAATTTAGTTTCTTAAGAAAACAGAACAATATGTTCAGAACAATAATAATTTAATATCAATTTTATACAGTATATTATAATGTTGTGACAAATCCCCTTATTGATTTTAACAGATAAGATATAATCATTTATAGATAAAATGCTTATTAGCATCAGCTATAATTTTAACATCAGTACATCACTTCAATCCTTCAAGGTCAATGTTTTTTCATCTTTCAATCTTTTTTTTCATGCCAAATGGTAGTAATTATTATTATTACTTTTCACATTCAGAATCCCGTAGGCCAGTATGTCTGCCACCTCAAGATCTTGGCCTCAAAGGAGGAGATAGCTTAGTTGTGACCGGTTGGGGACATCTGACAGAAAAAGGTTCCTTGCTTTTTTCCCCTCTCTAACAGAACCCTTATTATTTAAACTCAGTTTCCATCAAATACCCCTAATACCGCAAACTTTAACATTATCTGGGTGTTTTCCTGCAGGAAGTTTGTCTCCAAAGTTACAGAAGGCTCAGATCCCTCTTATAGACTCAGCCCAGTGCTCAAGTCCCACAGTGTACGGCACTTCTGTCACTTCCAGGATGATCTGTGCAGGTTACCTGACAGGAGGAGTGGATGCGTGCCAGGTAAGTCTTATTCTTTACTGTGTAGCATTAGGTAAAACGATTGCCATGTTATTAGAATAACATTTGTATGTTTTCTCTCTCTAAGGGCGATAGCGGTGGTCCTCTGGTGTATTCATACGGCCGCTGGATGTTGGTGGGTGTTGTGAGCTGGGGTTTGGGTTGTGCCAGACAAGATCGTCCTGGTGTTTACACCAATATGGACCAGATGCTCGACTGGGTCCATTCAGTCATGCAGGTATGAGCACATTGTTCTGGAAAAACTCTAGCTGCGTCCGAAATCGCATGTTTGTTCAAAACTTATTTTACGACGACTAAAAAAGTATGTTCGTATAAGCATGTATATAGTTTAAATATGTATGGAAGCTTGTTACAGCCACAGAATAAATAAATAAATAAATAAATAAACTGTGAAAAGGTAACTGTGAATTTTCATGATTTTTCAGAATTCTGAGAAAATAAAAGACTGAATTGCAAGATATAAACTCAAAATTTCTAAATATAAACGCACAATTTTCAGAAAAAAAGTCACAATTGCGAGATATGAACTCAGAATTGTGAGATATAATCCCAGAATTCTCTTTTTTTTTTCTTGCAATTCCAAGCAATTCTATATTCCGTAAAAAAATTTTTTATCGCAATTCTGTTTCACAATTTTGACTGTTTTTTTTCGTACAATTGTCAGAATCGCGAGAAAAAAAGTGAACTGATGTGAACTCAGAATAGCACAATTCTGAGAAAAAAAGTCCGTAATGTGAGATATAAACAGAATTTTGCAAACAAAAAAAGTCGCAATTACCTTTTTAATTTTTCATTGTGTGGCGGAACAGAATTGCGAGGTATAAACTCGGAATAAGTCATAATTATGGGTTTATCTCACAATTCTACGTTTATATCTCTCAATTGTGACGTTTTCTCAGAATTGCAAGTTTATATCTCGCAATAATGGGTCTCATTCATGAAACACGAGCAGAATGAATTTTTGTGTAAATCGTCCGTAAAGCCGTTCTGACGTAAACTTACGAATTCATGAAAATGTTTGTATTTTCAAAATGTTAGTTGATACGAAAGAAATGTACACCTGCTCCCTACCACGTGTAAATTGTGCGTAAAACGTCAGCTGGTCGTTTTAAGAAGAGCGCCTGACATTTTTTCAGCAGGCTAAAAACTCTTTGGTGGTCACACACATTATTGAATGTTTATTGTTAGGCATACGGCCTAGTCTTTTTTGCATTTATGCAATTTACTGGAGCCAAACCTGAGAAAGTAGAGCAGAATATTCCACTGCGTTCCTGGACACGCAATTTGCATAGCTGTCATTTATAGGCGGGGATTATGCTAATTGTGAATGAGCGTGCACGAGCGCCCTGTTACGAATGATTGGAATTCATTAACTTACACATGTTTAACTATCAAATCGGACGTTTACGAAGAATTTGTGAATCCGGAGGAGAGTTTTCGGGAAGGTCTGTTTTGCGCGCAAATTACTCAGAATTTACTCCTATATTTACGCAAGTTTCATGAATGAGTCCCATTAAGTTTATATCTTGCAATTCAGAGAAAAACGTCAGAATTGGAAAAAGTCAGAATTGTGAGATAAAGTGTTGCTATTAGCTTCCACAGTAGAAACTGGCTTCCATTACTATGGGTAATAAGAATAAAATTTGTATACTCTACATCCAACATGTTGTGTCTATTCACTGCCATTCCCAAATCATCTCCCGTACTGTTTTTTTTTTTAATTATTCGATGAATTCAGTCATACTGCTCTTTTCACGTAATGTTTAGTATGGAAATAGGCATATTCGGACGCAGCATGTGGCTGTGTACACCTATACTAAAAGTAGAAGAGTGGAATACTAATGGTTGTTTGTTGTCTTCAGGAGTACCAGTGAGTCTGGGATGGAGAAGAAAAACAGTAAAAGCCACAGCACAGATTCACAGAGATCTTCAGTCCTCAGAAAGAAGATATTCTACTGAAGATATATTGATTCACACAAATTTGTGGAGGAATCGCTGTGGGAGTTTTGCTCAGGGTCTTTAAAGGTGCCATGCGAAATATTTTGCACACTGAAATATATCATGTATGTATATAATGAGAACACATATGCTATCTTTTGTGGATCTAACACATTTTTTGGGACAGCAATGCAATCTTAAAGGAACAGTTTGCCCATAAAATGACAGTTCTGTCATTATTCACTCACCCTCATTGCTCTGAGTCAGTAAGACATTCTTTCTTCTGGGGAAAACAAAAAAAGATGTTTTATAGAATGTTCAAGCTGCAGAATTGTTAGAAAAAAAGGTTCCAAATGGGAATTTATCACTAAATTGATCACAGTTATGCTATAGAATAATTAGTTTTGGTTCCCTAAAGAACCTTTCGGTGAACAGTTCTTAAAAGGACCATTTTTTTCTTCATATGAAGAACATTTTAATATTCTAAACAGCATTTTTTATTTATTTATTTTGTATTTTTTTTTTGCAATGGAAAGATTCCATGGATGCTAAAGGTTTCGTCTTGGAACTATAGATGCCAATTAAGAACCTTTATTTTTAAGAGTTCCAGGGTGAATCAAGTTCCAAAATAGACAACAATATAACTCAAGACTTCTGAAGTCATATGATAGCTATGTGTCTGGAACACACTACAATTTAAAGTTGATATCATGCCATTTGCGTTTAATGTTTGGAGAAGAGCAGCTTGGACATTCTGCTACATTTCTTCCTTCGTGAGGATGAAGTTGTGAGGATGAATAAATAATAATAAAAAATAAAAAAAAGATGAACTGTCCCTTTAAATCAAAGTGACGTCAAATGCACTTTGAGATAACAGCCACAAGAGGGTGCTGTTTTTTCTTTTTTTAATATGTCTATACTTGTACTGTTGTGAGGTCTGATGACTTATATTGGGTGCCATGTTATAATCTTGAATTAAAGCCAGTGCTCATTTACTCTGCCAAAATACAATGGTGTCTTTGAAACGCTTAACAAATCATACATATAATATTAAATATGTAATGACAATTTATGACATCAGTTACAGAGGCCAATTCTTTTTATACAGACTGGGATTAAGCGCTCAAAAGAAGAGTGACACCTGTATTTAACTACTGTGTGTACGTGGACGTCACATATTTCCCTTTGTGGGTTAGTATTCAATTCTAAATGAGTCACATTCAGACTCATTTGGCTTTTGATATGTGTTCAGAAAACATATTTAAACTGCACACAAAGCTAAGATACGTCGTTCAAAATGTTTTTCTTATGGATGTCTTTCAACTTGTTTAACTTATGAGTGTTGGTTTTTGACTTAGGGTGGATTCAGGTAATTAGGGCTTTGTTGACAGTCATCTCAGTGTCAAAAAGAAAAGTCGCCCATTTCATCTGAATTCACCCTACTTGTGAAAGTAAAGGATATTTCTTTGTAAATATTGTACAGATTTGTGTTTGTCATGTCAAATTCATTATATTAAAGTGAAGAGTGGTAAACAGCAAGTTTGGTCAATGACTCCACAACCAGCAAACAAACACAACTAGTAATATTTTTTTGCAAACCTTTATTTCGCATAGTGATATATTCATTCGTTTATTAGTTTATTCTTTACAATCCAGAGAAGTCTACTGAGGTGCATAGTTATGACAAGGGATTATGACAGATGTTGGTACAAAGGGAAGCTGTACATACATGTTTTTTAATGTTCTAAAGAGTAGTGTCTGTAAGTGTTTAAAGTGCTCAGTCAGAGCCAATGATCACAAAACTAGTATTCAAATGCTATCCATTCAGACCTTTTTTGCCTATTATTTAGCCGGTTCCTTTATAAATGTACAGAAGAGGGAGTCCAAATGAAAGGAGAGTTCTCCTGGGTGCACTGATGGGTGGTACAGCAGGGCTTGTGTTTAAGTAGCTTAGATAGTTGTATATTTAGGCTGTTGTCTTGGTTTACGTATAGGAATAAAATCTTCTAAATGTGTCTAGACTATGTGGTGCACAAAGAACACTTGTGCACACCCGTAAAATACAAACTTTAAAACTCTACATTTGTCCTTATACAATGGCTAGTTTCGGATTAGCATGCTAGCATACTACTAGTGCTGTTTTTGCAGTATGCAATATGTGATTTTCAACATGTATGGAATTCCTATTACATTTGGTCACATGTTTGCTATATAGCATGTGTTTGTTTTTTTTAATAATTGTTATATTACAATTAAAAATTGATATTGGCAATTGAAATAAAGCTGCAATAAAGTATAAATATTAAATGGAACACTTAGATGAAAAAATACTGAATTAAATTAAAGCTGAAGTACTAAAATTACTCAAATTTAATAAATAAATAAAAAAGCTAAATGGAATTAATTAAAACAACTACTACTACCACTACAAAATGAAATAAAGTTAAACAAACAAATAAATAAATATGGAAAAAAGCAGATAAAACTTAAGTCAATGTTACAACGTAATGTAAAATTAAAACGAAAACCAGGGTTGCCAGGTCTGCGAAACAAAACCAGCCCAATTGCTAATCAAGACTAGCTCAAATGTGTTTTTTCCATGGTCAGACTTGGCAACACTGATGAAAACTGAACATATAAAATAAAAGCAAATTCAAAATGTTAACAAATTCAAATAACAGTACATAAATAATACTAAAACAACTCTGTATACAGCAGAGCACATGGCGTAGAATGTTGTACCCCACAATGCAATGTGCACAACATGACACGCCCCCATTTTCGGTGGGATTGATTTTCCTGGAATTATTTCTGCTAGATTTAACATAAAATTTGATTAAAAATGAAAATATGTTTTATTTCCAAGATTATAACTTGATTAACTTTTACTGAATTAAATGTAAGACTTAATTCAGTCATGTGACAAACGTGAAACATATTGCATACTGTTCTACATACTGTTTTTAAAACGCAGACAGTATTCAATATATACTGCGCAGTATGCAGTATGCAGTATGCATAACCAGTATACTAATTTGCCATTCCAAACATAGCCAGTGTGACTGGAATCCTTGATTATTTAAAAATGTTGGAAGTCTTAAAATCCACTAGAGGGAGACAGAACGTCTTGGAATGTGTTGGAGCACAGCAGTCCTCACACTCTCTTGGCTTAGCAGTGGGAGTGTCACCCAGGCAGTGAAATCCAGTCGTTTTCAAATCCATTATTTTGTAAGTCTACTTTACAAAAGGTCAATCTGTTCCTGAATGGGATCAGATCGGAGAGAGCCAAACTCTCAACTGAATATAGTACAATCATTTTAAAAGAATGCAAGTGGTTTTGGACATCCCACGTTTAGTACAGTAGAACAAATTATCACTGCAAAATAGAGAGGAAAAATTGTGCATATAAAGCACATTTTATATTTCATATCTCATATTTTCTGTCTACCAAGATCAAGCAGCCTGCCTGAAAATGCAGCTGTAGATATTTACCTTAAATTAGTAATTGTAACATGTGACATGCATTAAAGTAGGTTGAATTTATACAGCCTTCCAGTGTAAAGAACTTAACACTACGTAATATGTTGGCCGGTTTGAAAGATTTTGTTTTTTATGATAGAAATCAGACATATCCCTTCAGTTTTCCCTGCTATAACCCTTCAGATCCAGAGAGAAACACAGCCTGACGTGTGCAGATTCATGTCTCAGTGCTGCACTCTTAGGATGCGGATCACACTTCAACACTGCAGCTATGCAGTCTGGTTCGCCTGCCCAGACATTACTAACCGAGCCCAGAGTTGGCTGATCTGAGCCAACCATTCCAGCAGACACAAGCAACCGGACCAATATATCTATGCGTCTATACCGAGGTTATTAATTATTATAGTTTTGAATTTTTAAATTAGTTTTATTTTAATATCGTTTTCAAATTTGCTATAAAATCCAGTTTCGTTTTTATTAGTTTCATTAATATTGCTGTTAGTTTTAGTTTAGTTTTTATTTTGTGAACACATTTTTATTTAGTTTTTATATAGTTTAGTTTCAGTTTTAATTAAAGTTTAGCAGAATTAACAGATAACTTCCAGAGTGCAGGCCAAAGAAAGACTTAGGCATAATTTAGCTTTATAGGCAAACGTTGACATTGATTAAATGGTAAAATTATACAAATATACACCAAAATGAAGCAGTCAAGCCTTTTTACAAAAAAAAAATCTACACACGTTGTGCTTAATGTCATATCTAAATATGTGTATTGAGATATTTAATATGAAAATAAATGTAGCCTAATTTGGTTATTATGGTTAGATGTCTTTTTTCTTATTTAACCATAATCACGATATTGTAGCCTAACTGTCGTGTCTTGCTCACTTTTCCATGAACAACTGCGCATAAATCATAACTGGGACTAATGAAATTCAATAATAACGGCAAACGCATTTAACTGTAAAGGCTCATATTTGAATATGCTCTTTTAATTTATGAAGAATTATAAGCGTGTTTATGATGTGAATTAGCCTATGCACATTTGTCCGAAAGCCTGGCAGAGTGATCACAAGACGCTAGGCTAAAGTTTTGTATTGTTTACAGAAAGGATGCTGGTTCTTTTAAGTACTGCTGTTGCGCGTTTTGCGTCTGCTTTGCGTCTCTCCGTCAGATAACCCCATGTGCGCCATACACCATTTACAGGTATTTCCCTAAACTGCCACACAGCCAGTGGCGTGTCTAGATGGGGGGGCAGTCGGGGGCACTGGGTCAAAAGAGGATGGCCGAGGGGACAGATGTCTCGTCCAGTCAGCGGTGAGTAATCCCAAACCAATGGCGCTCTCTCAAACTATACCTACCTCTTCCGGTTTGTCTGATTTGTCGTTGTGTTTTCTGACTTGTAAATTTGTTTTCGGATTTGTCATTGTGTTTTCTGACTTGTTATAATGTTTTCTGAATTGTTGATGTGCTTTCTGAATTGTTATTTTGTTTTTTAGACTTGCAGTTGCGTTTGTAATTTGTTATTTTGTTTTCAGAATTGTGATTTGCTTTGCACTTCTCGGCCACCGTAATTTTGTCATTTTTATTTTATTTCAGTTTACGAAATTGTTTTTTCATCAATCGTTTTCATCTTAGTTTTAGTTTTCGTTTACGAAAATAACCTTGGTCTATACAGCTACACATTAAACCAGTGGTTCTCAACTGGCTGCCAACCAAAAATGGATCGCAGGTCAGTTTTTTACAGCACAGACGGAATGAAAAATGCTAAATGCATTATTCCATCAAAATAGGATCATGCAAAGAATTCTGTGGCATTTTGGCAAATCTTTACCTCCCACTCTAAGACAGATTCCAACATTGAAAAAAACTGCATTACTTACTATATTTGGAGTTTCCAGTTCATGGAAATATTTAGACATTTCAATGCATGATTCTGAAAGCATTATGGTTTACGCCACTTGATGTCCAATGCAAAGCAAAACCGGTTGAGAACCAACTCACTATTTCATTATCAATAAACATCTGATTCAAATAAGTGCAAAATATTTAGGGAGGGGGGGAATACATAAACAAAGCAGAAAAGGAATTAGGTTAACATAGCTAAAAAATAGCTAAATAATAAAAAAGAAGCTCTAATAAAAGTTCAAGTTTTTTTTTTTTTTTACATTTTCCTTTTTTTTTTTACAGTATTGCTTATCTACGTAATCTCCTTGTTTATGTGATCGTTTCATCAGAAATACGCTAGCTGCAAATGACAAAAGGCAACAAGCTGTAAGAAGCATAACATGGTAAAACATTCTGCCATACATGAATCAAAGAGGCAATGTGAACAGCTCGGCAACAGTAAGGACACTCAACGCTAACCACATTACTGTAAATCTGACGGACAAAGCGGCACCAAACCCTTTCTCCAAAGCACGGCTGATTTTAACACACATTTATGGATGCAATTCAAAGGAATTCAATGAAAACATACAAATACTTGAATTTCAAGCTAGGATTTCATACCGCTCTGTCAAAGAATCCCAAACAGTTGAGATTGCCAAAGCCCCTGATTTCTAAAAGAGAGTCAAGTGATTTGGAAGACTGCTAATATGTGCACATACAAGAGATATAGCCAATCAAAAAGACAGAATATTCATGTTCCGCTATTCTTAATATCACCACTGCAGCTATTCAACTACATATTTCTACAACTATAAATTCTACATCGTTCGTACTTCGCTCTACAAATAGAATGAGCATTCAAAACACTGTTACGTATATCTTTATGAATAAAGTGCCCAGGAACGACCCCTCTGAACTCTGCCATAACTACAACCACTGTGTACATTCATCTTTGGGTTATGGCGGAAGACTAGTAGAGTTTCATTGCATTTTTTATTCATTTTTTTTTTGCGGTGTAATCGCAAAGTGACATTCATCGCATGTTATGAATTTGTCGATACTTTTATACTTAACCCAGATATGGATATGAAAGAGCATTGCGCATTTATGGGGTTTCCGATACAAAAGGAAAAAGGAAGACAAACGAAACAAGATGGAAGCAACAGTAAATCATCCACCGTTCCACTAGCAGTTCTGGTTTGGCACTTGAATCTTAAATAACTACTGAAAGATTTGGAAAGTTGGCTTGTTTTGATAAACAGAGTTCGCTTTGCAGCTCCAGAACGTCTAGCAAACAAAATCCCACAAGTATTTTCCACCATTCGTCTGTTTTCTTGAATTAGCATCAAGCTAATCTGATCTATGAGAAGATTTGAGAGGTTTATGCTAATGCTAGTAACATGTGCACTTTAATTAGCCATTGAGAGGCATGTGAGGTATTACTATTTATTATAATTTGTCACAGAAGTATTGTGTCTTTGTACGATGATATGAAAACATAAGTATTAGCACAGCATCTGTGAGGATTGGTGCAGTTTAGCACACTGCAGTTGCTAGCTTGCTAGTTTGGATGCTAAATGTCAACATTAGCAGTTAGCAACAATATCGTGTCCTGTGAAGTTTGAATGTCATGATAAGCTTTACCAGTTAACTACAGTGGCCCTTCATGTCTGTATGTTGGATACGTACAAGATGAACTGTGACATTGTATATGACAAGCACAGATTGATCAGTCATGTGAGAAGAGACAGGAGAACATGATTCGGAGAAATGGATACATAGTACTCTAGATGTACTGTATAAAATAGTTCACATGCATTAGGAAAAGTTATTGGTGAAAGCAGCATCAGAAGATCATTCATTTTATACAGGGAGTTGGTTTCTGGGGATTGTCTTTATATTTTAATGTGTTTATTTTGTAGGGATTTTATTTTATTTTTTTGTATTTTTGGCTTTTTTTGATGTGAGCATTGTTTAATTAACTTATTTATATAGCATTTGAAGGCTCCCAGGAAGCATGTGGAGCTTGAAAGCATTAACAGGCACCTGTGTTTTATCTAAAGCAGAAAAAAACTGAAAAAGAAATACATAGAATGCACCGTGCTGGGCTGGAGGCTGGATATACACACCTTATCTGCATCTCTGGTAAGTCCTTTTATTTTTACTTCCTTTTAAACAATGCTTTGGCCATGAAAAACACTCTACACATCCTTATTTTCACACACAAAATATGTCAGAATGTATGTGTTGTAATATCAGCATTGCCACAAGGGGTGCTATTGCGTAGAGTGTGTTTCTGCCCTTCAAGTGCACTCGCATCCTGCTCTTTATGACCTCAATATCACTTGTAAAATTAGTGGGAGCGGTTAATAATCAGATTAGGTTAGCTGCTTGAATTGTTGGTAAACATATTCCAATTTGAAGAGGCACCCTTGGTTTTTAATGTTTAAGTTGTTAAGTATTTTCCTCTGGGTCAAATATGGACTAACCCAACCGTTGGGTTAAATTTCTACCTTAAATTTTTAACCCAAAAGTTGGGTTAGTCCATATTTGACCCAAAGTTGGGTTGAAACAACCCAGCATTTTTTAGAGTGCACAGGCATTTCTGTGTTTGTTTTGCTACTGACTTGTCCGCTTGTGAGAGATTCCACCTCGGGATCGTTTGGAATGCAGTGTGAAGATATGTAAAGTTGCACTGGAAGTTTATCGCAAACATTTTGTTATGTGGGTCTCTTGTGCTGTCGAGCATTGAAAGGATATGGCAGTTCATGAAGAAGGCAGTGTGTGTGTGCTGTGTCTCACAGACAAGAACAGAATGCAAGCACACCGAAGCGTCTACCATCATCTGCTTTATGAATATTTTTTAGGGCTTTTAAGACCAGCAAAGGGTGTGTGATCCAGCCTGCAGCACTTTGTATTTTTCCTCAAGCACAATCTAAAATATATATTTCCACATATATGTAGCATTTTTTCTCATGAGATAAAGAGAATAAAACTGTCCATTGTTATGACTTTCTTTCATTCTGTTATGACTATGTATGCATGTATACATATGCACGTATATGTACACACACATGCTCTTTTCATGCCTTTGGTGTCGGTTTGCTGTCTCCTTTGGATCCCGGGAGGCCGTTTTCTGTATTGTCATTCCCTGAAGAGCTCACAAGGCACTCTTTACTATAAGAAAAAGGGGAAAAAAAGACAGACATTGACAAATAAGAGTGGTCATGAAAAAAGAAAATAGAAAAAAGGAAACTTAAAAAAATTTAGTTTAAAACCCATGTGCCAAGTTTGTAAAAATGTACCTTTGGTTTTCAAAAAAAAAAAAAAAAAGCTTTCAATTTTATCTTTAGTTTAAAACCCATGTGCCAAGTTTGTAAAAATGTACCTTTGGTTTTCAAAAAAAAAAAAAAAAAAGCTTTCAATTTTATCACTCTAAAATGTCATATGGTGTGAACATTGAATATTGACATTGAATTGATGTGAATGTACTCATCTTATTATTTTAAAATCGAGGAAAATATTGTATCTATTTCAGAAAGTGATCTTCACAGTTGGCATTCCAGAATGATCCATTCAAGTGTTCAAAGATAGGTTAAGTTACAATGAATCAGACAGAAGAAATAGGGAAATGTTGTCCTAAGAGGGATGACCCCTAACACCATTACCCAGAATGCCTTGTTATTGGCATTTACTCAAAATGACAGAATTATATTTATTGGCATTTGGTCTGGTCTCACAGGGGTTTTATAACTGTCAAAGTCACCAGACAAGCACAGGACCCTAGTGGGTCGCTTCTGTTAGTGTGCAGCATGCCACCATTTACAGAGAACAGAATGGATGATGACTCTGCATATTTCTCCCTGCTGTGGCAAACCACCGCCCATTATAAATGAAAAAGTGCTATCTATCTGTCTGTCTGTCGGTCGGTCTGTAGTGTTGGGTCCGAGCCCACCTTGTCAAGTCCGAGTCAAGTCCTAGAATTTAACCAATTGAGCTTGAGTGGAAGACATTTAGTAATGTGTTTTTTCTTCATTTTATGTTGTTACTTATTTTTTTAATCTTTCATGTTCACCAAGACCGTCCGTCCGAGTCCAAGTTTATTCATAATTGCAGTCTGAGTCCAACTCTAACTGTCTGTCTATCAGATCTGTCCTATCTGTCTGTCCGTCCGTCTGTCTGTGTTCTATCTATCTATCTATCTATCTATATATATATCTAATCAGTGTTGGGTAAGTTACTCAAAAAAAGTAATTCACTACAAATTACTAATTTCTTCTTTAAAATTGTAATTTGATTACATTACTGATTACTGCATTTAAAAAGTAATCCGATTACTAATTACTTTACTTTCAAGTTACTTTAAAGTTTACTTTGCTTTTTTAAGTTGTCAAACCTAAAAATACACTACAAAGTGAAACTCGTAGTTATTTTAGTAATTTAATATTGACTGAAAATTATCCAAACAGCAACTTGAACGATCACTTGCATTTTTTTCCCTGATAACAGCGAAAAGAACTTAAAATGTTTCGTACTATTTATACAGATAAGAGTAAAACATCATTTGAAACGGTAGAAGGTCTACTTTTATTTGTATACACTCGAAATATAAACAAAACATTGTGCTTTTGTAAAAAAAAAAAAAAAAAAAAAAAAAAAAAAAAAAAAAAAAAAAAAAAAAAGTTGTGTTTTTAAAAAAAAAAAAAAAAAAAAAAAAAAAAAGACAAGAAAACAAACAGGGTGCGCTTTCTGCATTTTCAGTCTCCGCTAATATCTTCCTGAAACGCGTCTCTACAATGAACAAAAACTCATTGAATACTTGATATCTAAAGAAAGCTTGAAGTGTCTATTTTTAAATGAAGTATGTCATGTCGAAAACAAATATTCTCTGATAAAGTAATCCGTACGAAACCAACGTGAGGTACAGTCTTTCCCGTCTCAGTTCATCTATAATGTGGTCACACCCACGCACATCGTGCGCTATAAAATATCATCCACGCGAAACCAGGCTTGAGACACGCGAACATGTAAACGCCCACATCACCTGTGTAAACAAAGCATTACGATTTATCAAGTTCATCTCAGCTTATTTTTCTTTTTTTTTTTAAGAAGACGCACTGTGAGAAATAATTAAGCCCTGAATTTACCTCAGAAGACGATGCAGTGCGATGCGATGCGACGCACGGCTTAATCCAGCGCATTATCAGTCATTTATTTTTACTTATGTATTAATGTTATCGTGATATAAACTTATGCACATTTACTTGTTGAACTTTTCCCAAACTGTAATGCCAGACTAAAATAGTTGAAATCATGTGCAACATTTTGAAATATGATCTTTCATTGAATCTAAATGGTGTAGGACTCGTCTGCTGCTCGCATTCTCCGGTGATGTATTAAAGGACATACTGACGTGCAAAACATGATTTTAACTTCATTTTCTTTTACACTGCATTTGTAAATTAAGTAACATAATTTTATTGACATTAGTAACTGTAATCATTAGTAAACATTAGTAAACTATCTATCTATCTATCTATCTATCTAGCTATCTATCTAGCTGTCCATCTGTCCGCCCGTCCGTCCATTCATCAAAATGTCATGTGTCTAAGAGACCAATTATAGTATAGTAGCTAAGTATCTACCAAGCATCTAATAAGAAAACAAGGGCAGGTTAAAATTTGTTCATTTGTTTCAGCTCTACAGTTTCATTACTGTAGAGTTTTTTGCTCAGGATAAAACTGACTTACTTCTTCTCCTGGAGCTTTTTTAGAATGGCGAGGACCACAGTTTTCACTACCATGATGAGAATGATCAGACCTATGACTCCACCAAGCACGGACACAATGATGAGGGTCAGTGTGTTGTCCACCTCTTTCACTGTGAAGACAAACACACGTTGAGTTTGATCTGGGTGGGTATAACACCAAACATAATGGGAAGAACCACACTATTGTTTAAAATGAGGCCCTTTGTAAAATGGAGAGTGGAGACTCACATTCGTCCACCACAAAAAGATTGAAAATTGCACTATGGTTGCGTTCCTTCTCCTTGGGGTTGCGGGCGAAGCAGATGTACTCTCCCTGATCCTCGAAGGTGACGTTATGCAGTAAGATGGAGATGTTATTCTGTTTGCTGGAGCCAACAAACTCCACCCGCTCATGATAGATTTTCACATTAGGTTCTACTCCTTCTGCTGGGATGATGGCCTCACAGAGCTGAGGGAAAAGATAGTGTCACTAGAGAGTATTTGGACAATTAATCCATACCCTTTTTTGCATGAACTGCATGAAAATAAGTGTGCTTGAGAAACGGTTGAATATCTCACCTTAACCAATGTCCCATTGTCTTTGAACTGCCAGTTGAAGTAAAGGTTTTTAATGCCAATGCAGCTGGCGTATGTGCAGGGTAAGAGCACTGAACTTCCATTCATCACTTCTATAAAATTGACCTTGCCTGTATTCACCTCCAGTGCCTGAGCATACCACACGCCTGAGAGAAATGGAAGAGATGAGCACCGATTATCAAGCCACTTTTTATCCTAACAAGAACAATAAACAGTGATTTAAAGACCTCAGTATGGTTTAAAATACATCTCTGGATATGTGTGTGTGCATTATAAAGCATTATAAAGCAGTGTGTCAATTGTATAATAATCAAATACTCGGTATTCACAATACAGTGAGCAAGCAATAGCTGAATATCCTGCGTAATGTGGTTTCTATTCATCAAAGAATCCTAAAACATAAAATTCATCAGAGTTTCCACAAAAATATCTTATAGTACAAGCACAATTGTATTCAATATTAGTAATAATAAGAACAGTTTTTTGAGCAGCAAATCAGCATATTAAAATGAGGTCTGAAGGATTATGTGGCACTGAGACTGGAGTAATGATGCTGACAATTCAGCTTTGACATCACAGGAACAAATTACATTTCACAATATAATAAAATAGAAAGAGCTATTTTACATTGTAATAATATTTCTAAATATTTTGCAGTTACTGTATTTCTGATCAAATAATCACAGCCTCTGTGAGACTCTTTCAAAAACTTTAAAACATTTTAAACAGTATATACAAACTTTTATATTTATTTTATTTAAAGAAGATATTTGATTTTATATAATTGTATTTTTTTAGTATGTTATGTTTTTACATATTACAGTTTTTTTTATTCGCTTTGGTACTATTTTCACACGTAAGGTGTACATTTTCAAAATTCTTAGTACAAAAATCCAACTTGTAACATTGTTAGACATTCTTTTAAAAACTGATCTCATGCTTTCATTATAATTATCATAATCATTGTTTCAAAACATAAGATTATTGTAATATATATTGAGAACATTTAATTTAATCACCAGAACAGTATGATCTTGTTTCAATTTAGTACTTCATTCAGTTCATTCAAGAGCAAGCAATGCAAGATACATGTTTCAAATCACCTTTGCATAACTCACATAAAATCCATAATGTTTGTAGCAGTATGAATCCAGTGTGTTATCAAAAGGTGCGATGAAGGTATGACTTGGCCATAAGGTTTTGTGCAAAAACAGAGTTTAATTTCAATGCAGTAAATGTCCTCACTGTGCCATATGACTGAATCTATACTGTAGCTAAACTTTTCAGATGAAAGCTGAGTTATAGTAATGTGCAGACTCTACAATGCCTTTACATACAGTATCACATGACATAATGCAATGTAAAATGCAGTATTTGATGCCATCTGTCTCCCTTCTTCTGATACATCTCTGATCAATCTCTGATCAGTTCCTCTCCCTTGTATGCTGTATGTTCACAAATTGCAAAACACACAGTTTGCAGGTGCACTTTTGATGATCTGTTGTGATATTAATAGTAGGCTACTAAGAGTTTTGAAAATGTAACAGTTGCTTGTGTAAATAGTACCAAAGCAAAACATAATTTTTAATACGAATGCTTTTGTTTCAGATCCAGTTCATTGTAATCCTTGTCTTATACATAATAAACACTCATGGCTATAAAAGGGAGTTTAAATCTCGGGAGACTGATAGAAAGAGGAGGCAGTCATTGGTTGCATTACACTTGTTGCTTTGCTCAGGGTCTTAACGGCTATTTTGTTTTCTTTTACCAAAGAACTGACAAAAACATTCTCAAAACAGGACTTGAGTCTGTGACCAGCCTATTCTGCAGACACTGAAATCCCCACAATTAAATTATTGCTAACATAAAGAGAGCATTTATGACAGACCAAAGGAATGGAACAGAGACTATTAAAGGGATAGTTCACCCAAAAATGAAAATTAGTCCAAGATTTACTCACCCCCAAGGCATCCTAGGCATATCTGACATTCCTCTTTCAGACGAACACATTCGGAGTTACATTCAACATTGTCCTGTCTGTTCCAATCTGTATAATTGCAGTGAATGGTGCCCCTGTTTCTGAATCCCCCACCAAAAAAGTATCCATCCATCATAAAACTACTCCACACGGCTCTGGGGTGTTAACACCTTAGCTGTCAACGATCGGCGATGGCCCTAGATTATTGTTGTTTCACTTTAACAGCACGTTAAAACATCACACTCTTACTTGATCTGGACAAACTGAGCAGCAGTAGAAAGATTAAAGACTCTAGCTAGTTCTTCTCCATAATGTATTTTGTCATAATAATTGACATATGGTCGTAAGAAAATGTTTTGTTGTATTTTTTTTTAGAAATTTTGATAATAGTTGCGTAAATGTATACTGGGATCGAAGCAATGTGGCTTGGTAAACCTTGTAATGCCAGAATAAAGGCTAATAGTGGCTGAATAGAAACAAAATAATAATGATAAAGGAATAATGAGGATAATGTCTCATACCTGGCGGAGGTGTGAAAGGTTCGTCGAGGGAGAACAATAGAATCATGAATGGGGCAGTTTGCCAGGCCAGACATGAGGCAATAGCATGCAGGAGAGCTTACAGGGGGCCATAAATCAATTTTATTAGCCTTTTATTAGCCTTCTCGAAAAACACACATGACATGGTCTTAGAAAATGTTT